GTTTACAGCAGTGACGGTTTGCACAGTACAAATGTACTTAATGCCACTGAACTGTACACTTAAAAATGATTAAGATGGTAGATTTTTTGTTACGCATATTTTACCACATTAAAACTCTCTACTTAAAAGCAGAGAATAGTGACAGGTAGGTGAATATAGGATCTGGGGTTCAATAGGGCTCACAAGGCTCAAGAGAACGGGTTTGTTGATTGACTACAAAAAATAAGGGTGGCGTCTTTTTCAGGCTCAGGCCTGTCAGTACCATGGGCCCCACCCAGCAATTCCAAGGCTCAGTGGTGACTCCGTGGTACAGACCCACTCCCCCAATTTTCTTTGGAAATACTGAACTCCACTTAAAGAAGGACCTTTAGTAGATTAAAGTATTATGACAATATTACATCTACTAAAGCTGATAAATATGCTATGGTTATTTATGAAAATATCCCTATTCTTGGGATATACACACAGTATTTAGACGCCAAAAGTCAGGGCATAACTTACCCTCAAAAGGTGTGTGTGTATATGTATGTCTCTCTTTTATAGCTCTACCTAAGCAACTAAGATTTTCTACCCAGGAATTTGAAAGTCAACATAAAGGTCCACAAAATACCACTTTTCAACTCAACAAATACTTTAACACCTAGTACATGAAAAGCAGCTGAGTAGTTTATGCATGACATAAACTGTTTTGCAGTTTCCCCGCAGGCATATGCTCTGATGCTGAAGCCAATATCATTAGTAACAGCCTTTACTCCCTTCTCCCTTGCGGCCTCTGACACAGAGTTCAGAGTGAGCCAAGTGCCCTGCCAGGCTCCCTTGCAGCTAAGGGTGGCTATGGAACCCAGTGATGGCCAGTGAGGCATGAGTATTTGCTGGGGGCTTCCAGGAAATGTTCTGCATTCCTGCTAAAAGGGACAAGCAGGAGGGAAGAAGTGTCACGCCCACCCCACCTCCCATCTCCTTGTGTTTAATGGGGACTCCTAGAGCTTGACAAAACAACCTTGCAGACATAGGCTAGAGACCAAGAAAAAAAAACTTAAGATCTTTGCTGACATCATTGAGCGACTGAACCAACTCCAGGAAACGTTTACCTCTGTGCTTATTATATGAGAAAAATAAGCTATTTACTTAAGCCACTGAGAGTCAGGTGTCTGTTACTTACAGCTGCATGTATTACTGATGTCTCATTATTCAGGAAAAAAAAGAAAAAGCCAAGAGAATAAATATAAAGGCTGCATGCCATGCACCACCAGGCACAGGCAGCAATCCCATCACAAAATGCCCATTGGAAACCTGGACCAAATGGCATTTTTAACAATACCAAAGATGTAACCATTTTCATTAACAGAAGTTAAAATAAAGAACCCCCAGTGGCAGTAAGCATTCTACCATGATTTAAGACCTGAAAGGTCAAGGTACCCTCTATAATCAGATGGGTTTAAATGGAAACATCATCTCCGGGTATTCTGCCAAGAGCGTATATTATTGCCAAATTCCTAACTCAAAACTGTATATAAGAATGCTTTAACTGAAACACAAGTTAAAAATAAGACATTTAAATAGTAATCTTCCTTCTCTCTCAAAGATAAATGTGTCCATTAACCCTGGATGTAACAGGAAGATTTTTTCTTACATGCTATTTGACCATTTTTTTCCCAAGACAGTCACAAGGAAATCGGCATGGAAAAAATAATTCAGGATGTTGGCTGGCGGTCCTCTACTTCACTGAATTAAAGTGCGATCAGGTTCATAACTTTCAAATAGAAATATTAAACGTGTATTAAATACCTCTGCATAAGGTTTTGTGCAAACGGGGTAGATGCAAGGCAGCTGCATACAAAGATTCACAAGACACAACCCATGGGCTTGGAGAGTTAACCACCTAGAGTTAGAACAGGGAGAGATCAATGGGAAAAGTTAAATGAAATGTTTCCATAACAGTTCTAGACAGCAGAAGAGATGTCATAAAACAGTGCACGATTCATTGCCAGGAAGATTGTTGCTGACAATGACTGCTGTAGGATTTCAGAAAAGAAAAAGATTACTTCAAGCCGTGAAAGATCTGGGGAGACTTTAGAGAAGGAAGGGATCCCAGCTCGGTCTTGAAAATGCCTAAAAGTGGGCAAAAGAAGCACATTAAGAAAGGCTGGTTTGAAAATATATATATATAAATAAAATCCTCCAAGATATTGGGGGATTGTAGGGAGGGAGGCAGTCAGAGGCTCAGGTGGAGATGCCAGGCTGTAGAAGAACATTGGGCAAAAGAAAATGCAGTCAGAAGGTAGCAACAATCCAAGTGTCCCTCCACAAACGAGTGGATAAACAAATGCAGGATGCAGTGGAATATTATTTAGACTTCAAAAGGAGGGAGGTTCTGACACATGCTACAACATGGATAAACCTGCAGGACATTACTGGCCGAGTGAAATGAGCCAGTCAGACAGAGAAAATCCTGTGTGATTCCATTTATATGAGATTGCTTGAGTAGTTGAGGCCACAGAGACAGAAAGTGGAATGGGAGCCAGAGGCTGAGGGGAGGGGAGATGGGGAGTTAGTGTTTCATGGGGATAGAGTGTCAGTTTTGCAAGATGAAAAGAATTCTGGAGGTTTACAGCAGTGACGGTTTGCACAGTACAAATGTACTTAATGCCACTGAACTGTACACTTAAAAATGATTAAGATGGTAGATTTTTTGTTACGCATATTTTACCACATTAAAACTCTCTACTTAAAAGCAGAGAATAGTGACAGGTAGGTGAATATAGGATCTGGGGTTCAATAGGGCTCACAAGGCTCAAGAGAACGGGTTTGTTGATTGACTACAAAAAATAAGGGTGGCGTCTTTTTCAGGCTCAGGCCTGTCAGTACCATGGGCCCCACCCAGCAATTCCAAGGCTCAGTGGTGACTCCGTGGTACAGACCCACTCCCCCAATTTTCTTTGGAAATACTGAACTCCACTTAAAGAAGGACCTTTAAAATCTTTAAAAATCTCTGACCTTGGAACGGAAGTAAGAGACAGACACCTGCAGACCCTCACTTCCGACCCCGGCCCGCTCCCCGGCCTCACTGGGGTGGATGTGGGTGCCAAGTAGACGACTGGATCCCTGAGGACCTGAAGTGCAGGTCGCGTCTCCGTGGCTCGGGAGCGTGGAGGGGTGTTATACGGTTTAGTGGTCGGCAAACCTGGGCTTCATCAAACGAAGACACATCTACGTCTTCTCTAACCGTAAAGCAGGAACTGGCAGAGGAATCTCCTGATGTGTGGCAGATACACCATAACTATTCGGAGGTCATCAGACTCTCGTGAAATGGCTTTGGACTCCTGCAACTGTTCCCAAAGAAAAATTGGGCTGACTCTACGTCTTTTCATAATTCTTGGGCACCCCTGACCTGGCCAAAACGTGGTTAAGTCTTTTCTCCTAATTGTGACCCTGGATCCCCAAAGTCCTGGACCTGTGGTTATTTTGCCTGCCTCCAACAATAGTGATCTGGAACCCGCCCATCATCACACCTCCGTGGCAGCAGATAAACTTGCAGGTGGGGGGCACTGGCCCCTCAGGGTTTGGCCCCTCTACTGAGCTTCAGACAGTCCTCCTGGCTGAAACCACCATTTTTAGAGTAGCCTTACTTTAAGAAACAAAAGTAAATGAACTCTAAATATTAGAATTTCTTACCAATGTCACCAACAGGAAAACTACATCCCCTGTACTCTTGGGCCCTTCTACAACCTACATATTTTTAATCCTGTTGCAGATACGGACATTGGAAGATCAAAAATGATGTCAGGCACACAGGAAGTTTACAACACTGGTTGTACAAGCTTGTATGTCTTTTCCAGCTCTCAGTTTTTCTTTTTATGCTTTTCCCTTGATTTTTGCTTCATTTTTAATTTAGGAAAACATGGCTAGTACATTAGATCATTGTCATTGCTGTGTCTTGTTGGACTTCCAAAGTTTGTAAGGACTGACTCATAAAAAAAGAAGAAGAAAAGCATAAAATATGTCAGGGAAATGGAGTCCCTATCATTTCACTCACAAATTTTGCCTTTTAAATGTAGCTCTCCTGCCGACAGCGCAGTGAAAGATGGTTCTCTTATTGTCATTTATTAGCCACGACAGGCGGCGAGACCCCTCTCAGATATCGGCCCCCTTCTCCACAATTATCTAGTAATGCCCGCAAGGCAAGGCTGCCCCAGACTCCCTCCTTCTGGAATGCTTTTCCCAAAGGCAACAGTTCAAAGAGAACCTCTCTTAACTGGAACACGGACATCTGCAGAATTATCTGGACAGGCAGAGCCCACGACTTCTGGAGAGATACCAGAGACTTAAGACAGAATTACTTACACTCCAGTCACCAGGAAATCAAGTTCAGCAGCATGTATAAAGCTTTACATACCCACACTGAGAGGACAGCGGCCGCGTAAACGACCCCAGCTGCACTGTCCACGGACATACTTCTTAGCAAGGATCCTTCCCTGTTAACCTCTTCCCAACAGGGAGAAGAAAAAGAAACTATGTTTTTCACTAAAATACAATGTAACAAAATGGGACAAAATATAAGATAGCATCAAAACTAAATGATGCACTCCTGGCTTATTAGCCCCTAGACACACTTAGGAATGTGACATAAAAATTACACACTCCTTGCTAACAAGGCTTGTAAGTCATAACGTGCAGCACCATGAAGCCCTAATATACTTTCTATCTTGAAGTATCTTTACTGATTTCTTCTGTATACCTTTTATTTTGCACGTTTTTGGAGCAGAGAGCAAGGGGTTTGGAGGAGATAAGAGAGGAAAAAAATGGAGGAGAGGAAAGAAAAGAGATTTAACATCTTCAATCTGACCCATAAAGAAGTCTCCCCATCCACCCTGGGGAGGGCGCACTGCATCAGGACTGTTCTCTGAGCATTAAAACGTATGTAATGTGCCTCACAGACAATACAGGAATGACAGAAATGGCGAGCTAAGCATCTAACTATAATATAAAAACGAACGTGCTTCAGTGTGGTAGATTTTAATAAGATTTTAACAATATTGGTAAGAAGCCAAATTACAAAATGCCCTAGAATATGGAGTACAAAACCTCAGAGACAAAATAAAAACTCATGAAAATGTAAGAGCACTTTAAAACGGTCATAATCTCTAGGATAAAGAAACTGTTTTCTCAACAAAGGTGTGGAGTGTGTTAAATAAAAATGAAATGAGATTAAAGACAAGGTACACAGCCACACATTCCCCAGTCCCAGCAATGAGGAAGGGCACGGGTGCATCCAGGAAGGCTGGGTGCCGGGCCCACAAATGCCTCTAGTTGCCAAGAGATCTGCAAGGAGCCGCCTCGAGGCAGGCTGAATTCCCCACATTTTACTTACAGGGTAAGAATTAATTGACTCTCTGCTTGTAGAGCAGCTTTGGAAATGAACCCTGTTGGCACACGGGCGAGCGCTAACACATTTCCAGGTGGTGGGAGAAGCAGGTGGGCATCTGCCCCTCCAGGGCGACCCCCAGGGCAGGGCAGGCTGTCTCCTCCAGGGCAGCTCAGTATTCAGACAAATGCAAGGGCTCCCTCCGTGTGATCAACAACCCAAAGATAAGCAGCAAAACCAACAGGGGCCCCGACCCTCAGAGGGACGACTTGCCACCGGCCATGGGCAGCAGAGCAGCCGAAGCAGAGACTCCAGGCTCCGTGACACTCACCATCTGCAAGGACAGATGTGCCGCCCCATCGAGGTGCTTTGGGTGGGTGGGGGGTGTTCCCCCAACCCTGTAAAGCAAATCCTCCGGTGCTACAGTCATGGGGGGCCTATTTTTTTTTCAAGGACACTGTGCACATTATGCTTCATTTGCACCAGATGTTCAGATCAGTGTGTCTGCTCACGCCGCTGGAAACACAATTATTTATCTGTCCTTCCAGCACACGCGGCGGTGAAGAGCAGCTGTGAAATACAGCAGATGCCCTTCCACAAAGCCAGTGGCATCCCGACAAACCAGGAGACAAGAGGGGCAGGCACCCCACTCCAGTCCTATGCGACAGGTCATCTACAGACACCTTTATTTTAAACCCTAAACCCACAGTTTATACAGACACAGATTCCATGAGACAGGAGAGACAGCCAGGAAGAGGTGAGGCTTTATATTCTCCAGATGTCTACTTTTGCTGCACTGGCTCGCAGAAAGTTACGTGTAACTTTGAGATGAAAGGCATTAGCAGCTTCTTAGAAGAGGATAACACCAATCTTCTGGAGATTTAATGAGATGTAACTCAGGGATGCTTCTGACTTGGTCTGCTGTTAATTGAATCAAAGTCAACGACAATCTTGCTGCACTTTGGTGTGAATTTCCTAAGCATTAAGAAACAAAATATATAAAGATATTATCCAGTGAGTAGTTAAAGCAATTTGTTTACTTTGGCTTAACCTACATTTTCTGTGGGGAGGAAAAAATTCCCTGGGATCCACTTGCTATTTTCTCTGTATAGGGGCCAATTATAGTGCACCATCCTGGGAGAAACAGCGGCGAGAAAGGGCGAAGACATAAACAGATGCCTGGGGGGTGGGCTTGGTCTCTAGGTTCTCCAGCGAGCAGAGTTCATGAATTATCAGGGAGTCAAAGGATTCCTAACATGTTAGCTGCACGATATGACTTAGGATTACTAGTTTTCCCACCAGATTTATCTTATTTTCCAGGAAATTTCTGCAGCCAACTTGGAATCAGTCTCAAGCACAAAAGAGTACATTTTCTCTTGGCTCCTACACGTGGCAAAAAAAAAAACAACGCGCTTTAGTGAGGATTAATTTTTTAAACCACAGTCTGAGAAATGCAGAAGTAAAATAAACCCACTCTATTTTTTTACTCATTCATGTGTTTCTGAAACAGTGAATAGGAAAGTATTTGGGGACTACACATATTCTTTTAATAATCAGTAAACAGTAAGTATCTATTATTGTGTAAATAATTTGGATTGAAAGGATCATAAGGCACAAAAGTTCACAGAAATCACGACATATAACCCTTAATCTGTACTGATGAATATAGGGGTTAGATATGTTAGCAGCTCTAAGAACCCCGCTGCTTTGAAAGCTGTCACAGTCTCAAAAGATGTTTCCACCCTGAATCAAAAGCAGTGAGAAGTAAAACCTCCAATCTCTGCCCAGCAAAGATGATCATAAAAACCTAAATGACTCCAAATCCCAATTTAAAATGTTGCTGTAAAAAGAATTCCAGGTGTTTCAACCTGGCAGGTTACCGTCATCCTACATTTTCTGTGCTAGAGTTGCTACGTTTGCAAAATTGACAAAGGTTTAATGCTAACATCATAAAACTTGGGAATTCTTAAATTTCTCGCTGCAAGAATAATTAGCCCAAGCCTTGGATCTCACTCATCTTCAAGGGCAGTCACTAGGCAGGTTGTCTTCAGAAGCTTCTGTCCCTGCTCTTAAAAATCTACATGTACAAAAAAAATCTTTAGATCCTCAGCCCATCACATGGGAAAAAAAAAAATCCTCCCGAGTATGTAAGGCAGACATCACAAGTGAAAGTAAACGTCAGACGAGGTGAAATGTCATTCCTGCTCAGGCCTGCACCCCACCCCATTCTTCCTCCTCACCTGAAGACGACCCCTGCCATGTCGAACATGAGTCTTGCGGCCGTGGTCTCATCACTGTCATGGTATTTATCAGATATGAAAATGACTTCTTTGATACCTTCAAAGGCGACAGCGGAAGAAGCCCGTTAGCGTATGCACGTAGATGCCGCCAGCAGTGTGCAGCAGAGATGGAGCCCTTGTGTCTGTGAATAATCACCACCTCCGAGTGCGCTGGCACACAACGTCCAGTTACCGAAATGTGCATCAGCTGCTTTCGAACACAGCAGAGGATGGATTCTATTTAATCTGCCCTCCAGCATTTGTGGATTTTTTTCAACAAATGAAAAGGGAAATCATGTCAAGTAGTCACACCTTGATACGATTAACAAATTTTCTTTACTGTGGGCAAATATTCTTTATTCCCAAGGCCAGAATTCTTGATGTGAGAGGCGAATGGGGAGAGTGGAGAGTACCGGCCAAATCAGAAATAAGGACTGCTGCGCTTCCAAGAAGGGTGCGGCGGACCGGAGCGGCCAGCTCGACGGGGAGCAGAGCTCAGTTCTCCTGTCTGTGTAAGCAGGGCCCACCTAAGGGCAGTGGATCTGGAGGGCTCTTGAGACCCCACTTGCTCCTCCGGCAGCCTCCGCAGGGACCCCAGGAAGCTGGCCTGGTAGGGCTCATATTGGCTCTTCCCTCACGCCTGCCACCACCTCCACACTTAAACTCGCAAAGGATGGCTCACCACCACTGAGGGAGCCCACAGTATTCCTTGACGCAGGCCCTGGATGCTGCTACCACCAGACCTCTTCTGCTCGGAGACCCACGGGCTTGTGATAAACAGCCCCTTTGAACCACACATCTGGCTAACATGAGAAGTCTTTAAATCTCAAGCCAAGAGTTTTACGGAGATAAAGAGGAGCTGAATCTTAGAGGTGACAGTTAGAAAAAGGTGAAATATTCAGAATACAACAGTATAGATTTATGGCAACTGTAATGTAAGAAAAACTTAAAGAAGCACCACTTGGGTCTTACCACACTCTTATGCAAAGATATGTTTAGGTTCTCAAATATCTACCATATATTAATACAAATTAAAATTTCACATACAGACTCCCAGCTGACCTTGTTTCTGACAGAAGTTCATTTCCCTCCCTAATCTATGCACAATGTGTCAGAGAACTGTAAATCGACAGTAATTATATGCAATGCCTCTGTTGGGTTTTTTTTGGCAGCTTGCAGTTTAAGAGGTTGCAAACTAAATTAAAAACATGCTAAGAATCACAGAGGCTGCAATTAGTCTTAGATACCTGGCACGATTCAAAAACAAAACACGGGAAATATCTTGCAAAGTTGATAGTGCAGTTAATTTAGATCTAAACAACAGCAATTGAAGAGCAAAGCCATCTGCAGGGAGCTACCGAGGAGCAGGCGGCAATGCGGGCGCGACACACGGAAACAGCCCACTTCCTTACCCGCCTGGATAATGAGCTTGGCACACTCATTACACGGGAACAAGGCGACGTAGATCGTACAGCCTTTCACATCGGCCGAGTTTTTGTTCATGATGGCATTCAGTTCGGCGTGGCACACTGCGGGTTTGGAAGAGAGGAAGAAAGAAAGAAAAACTTAGATTGCGACTCATAAAGAATCTACAAACAGCGTTGAGGCATTCCACTTGCCCCTCTGAAATAACATGTATAATAGATTCAATTTTTTACAAAATCGATCACAAGCAGGACGTCCTGAGAATACCAGCGGAGGGCCACGTGGTCCGGCAGGTTGGGGATTAGCAGCCAAACTGCTCATTGCAGCAGCCCTTCGTGGAGAAGCACCTTGAGCAGCCAGGAGGGGCCGAGGTCGCATATCTTCACCCACCCTGAGCGGAGCAGTAGCTCACCACTCCACAAGACCCTGGGGCATGGAACTGCCCACATAAAATGGCTCATTTGTGTGTTGATATTCACACTCAGGGGTATTCCCCGTGGCCACTAAGAGGGCAGGGGGCAATTTAAGAGAATCATGCAGTGAAGCTGAGCATTTCTGCCCTGAGGGATTTGTTTCACCTCGTGGTTCTCAGCTCACAGACACAGAAGAAAAATACCAGGGGATAACCAGTAGTTCGTCTTTTGTAAGAAAAACATTCATCGACTTGATGGCAGGGAAAAGTGAAGTTCTTGCCACACTGGCCCATTCCATCAACGATGGTCCCCAGACTTGCCCGAATTCAAGGTGACAGGGATGGGCAAGGGGTTCCCACCACCCACTCCACAGCGCTCTCCTCTCAGGGGGGCCAGTGGTACTCAGGGCTCCGACTTAGTCTGGGATCCCCCACCTAGTTTGGGAGGCTGCTGGACTGCTGTCTTACATAGATATTTAAGGTTCTAGGTGCATAATCTAAATCTTTCTTACAATCTCCTTGTGGCAGTTATTTGCAAACTTGTCTGCACACTGGAATGCACGGGATCCTGGCCCGCTTTCCTCCCCAGGCCTCTCATTTCTGCATGTGATTGTAACGGTCTCTGTGTGCCTGTGTCTGGCAGCAATGCACTGGGACCCTCAGGAACGTCAGGAAGGGTTCAGTGCGGTCTATGAATATAACTGAGGAGGCCTTAAGCCTGTGCAGAAATGAACAGTCTCTGGCATTGTAAAAAAATTTAACAAAAAAAAAAAAAAAGCTGCACTTAATCAGATCCCAACCCACCAGAGACTAGTTCCCACCAGCCACAGAGGGACCCAAGCTACTCTCCCTCCCAGAGATGCACTGGCCTATAAACCCCGAGGGAGCAGGAGGCCCCCCAAAGATGGGAGGAGGGCTCCTGCTCAGTGGCCATGAGGTATTGGCTGGGGAGAGGCCCCTCGATCCCGTTTCCTTCCCTGATGACCAAGATATTCCCAAACTGGGATTAACACTGCTCAGTATTAAAAACAGTTAGACGTAATTGTTTCCTTTATTTCCCCCTTGAGGCCAGAGCCCAGTCTTCTCGGTTCTTTGTAACGCCCCCAGGGTCTAATGCAATGCCACGAACATGGTGTTAAATATTTATTGAATGAATAAAAGGAAATGTGGGTTCCAATTATTGATGGTGATGATGGGGAAAACAAAAAGTCTTCTTAAATTCGAATTATCAAAAATATGCTTTCCCATCTAATAAATACCTGCTGCTGATGTTGGCATTAGTATTCAGAACTGTAGAGTTTCTGAACCTGGTAGAAAACACTATTAGACTGTCCTCTTTCGAGCCTCTAAAAATTGTCACATTGACTACAACTACCTTCTAATTCCAAGGCAGATTGGGACAAAATTTAACATTAGGTGTCTGGATTCATTAATGAAAATTACCATAGGAAACATTCTCTTGGGGAGCATCCGACATCCCTGTATAAAAAGGGTGGTTTATAGAAATAATACGAAGGATCATAAACAGATTTCCTTTCTCTTAACTACAAAATCACAAAATGAAAAATATAAAGCGTCTTGTTAGAAAAACATGAGGTCTGCTGGGCAATATGAGCGGCTGAGTGTCAGGCACACGTGAGACTCCTTAAAAGGAACAGTTCACGATCCACAAGCCCACATATGCCAAACTAGACAGTGACGAAAACGAACGTAACGGAGGGTTCGCCTGCCCTTGACTCCTCTGGCTGACCCCTCCAGCCCCCCAGCCTCGAGGTGACCAGCGCCTTCTTCAGCCTTCCCGGGGCGGCCTCAGCCTACAAGCCCTGTCTGACTTACAATGCAGCCTCCCCAGCCCGCTCCTGAAGGGCTGACAGGAGAAACCGCACCCTAGGAGAGCCGCCGACACCTCGGCCTGCCCCTCCCGCCCGTACCCCCATGTGTGGTCTGTCTGGGTCCTGAGGTCCCAAGGACTCGTGTTCCTGGCCCCACACAGTCGGCTGAGGCCCACAATCTTCTCAGCTTCTGTGGCTCTGACCCTGTTTCCCCTCCAAAACTGCCCTGGCCCAGGTCCCCAGACTGTCCTCAATGAAACTGGGCAGAATTGCATGACTGTCCATGCAATCTGCTGCACGCAGGTCAGTCCCAGCGGAGTTGGGGACTCCCTTCCCTGGCCTGGCCATCCACACTCACCACATGACAGACACCGCCAATCTGGTTGTGGCCACAGAGCACTCAGGAGCCGGCACACCCGGCCAGTGCGGGGTTTGCCCCGGGGCCCTGGCTGGCCTGAGCACGAGGCCCAGCACCCCCTGGCCCGCATGCTCCACCTCAGGCCAGCACAGAGGTAGAGCTCTGCAGCCCGAGGTGGCACTGGGGTTCGAGGCCCAGCGCTGCCGCCTAAAGCTGTGTGGCCCTCAGCCAGGTACATGAGGGGCTCTCCCAGCTGGCAGGAATAACGCTGTCCCTGAGAACATACATTTCCAACTAAATAAATAAAATCATTTTTTAAAATACCAAGTAACCCAATTTGTAGCTTTTTCCTGAGGTGCCCAGTTTCCCTCCTCCCTCCTCTGGGACAGCTGATCTCCAACAGCAGAACAGGAGTCCTCTCTCCTACGGCCGACGGCAAGGCCTGGGGGCCCGGCTCTCCCTAGGGCTCCCTGTGTCGGGCAGGCTTCTCTCTGCCATGTCTCTGTGGGGGGGCTTAACCCCATCTCACCCGAGGGGGACCGCCTCGGCGCAGGTTCACTGGAGCCAGTCTCACACAGTGGAATGTTAGGGGTGAAAGGGCTCACACCAAGCTTTACTCTCATGGCGGCAGGTCGAGGGCATTCGCAGTTTGTTTCCACGTCTGCCTCCAGGAAGAGCGCCGGGCAGAGCTCTTTACATAGTGACTCAATCAGTAACAGCTCACTGCCTACAGGTGTAGGACCTTCAGCCTAGCAGTAGGCCCGTCATTTCACCAAGTACTTTAGGGTTGGGTGAGGATCCTGGCCATCGGAACTTCCTTTTCTCCTACAGCCCCAGTGTGAAGAGGCCATCTCTTCAGCATTTGAGGTCTCTTCTTGCTTTCAAGATGAAATTGTCCTGTATGCAACTGCAAGTCTATTTTTTAAATAATCTCTTGACTTGGCAATGCATACATAACCTCTAGTTTTCTCTAAAACAATACTTTTCAAAATGTAGGTCTTGAAGTCAGTTTAGTGAGTTATAAGCAGTGTTGTTTTCCCTTTTAGTAAAATGGATGAAAAGAGACGGGGAAGACACAATCTGTGGCAAGGTTAAGTTCTTCCTACAAACTGTCCCAGGTGTGAACTGGGTTTTCTGGGTTGCCATATAAGAACTTTGAGAGACACTGTGAAACTGGTTGACCTCTGTAATGGGCTAGTAATGTTTACAACCAACTAATAAAAAAAAAAAAAAAAGGCCTGATTGGTAGCATCTGCTGATTTCGGTGATGTAAACACTCCCACAAGGCCAATTTCAATCCCCAAGCCGGCAGAGCTGGGAAGAGACGCCCACATTCTGCTCTGGTGTATAGCTCCCACCTAGCCCTGTGCACACTCAGCTGCACCTAAACCCAGCATCTCTGCTGCAGTCTTTGGACCCGCCTGCTCTCGCCTGGCCCTTGACCAGTTGACTGTGCTCCCCTCTGCACCTGCTCAGGATCATCAGACGATGGGGGGTCTCCAGCCTCCCTGTAGGTCGTTTTCTTTCTTTTGCCTGTGTGGGCCTTTCCGCAGGTGCAGTTCTGCTCTTCCATTTTTCTCCTGTGGGGAAAAGGAAGTTCCGATGGCCGGGATCCTCACCTGAACCTAAACTACCTGATGATATGACTGGCCTGCTGCTAGGCTAATGCTCCCACACCCGTAGGCAATGAGCTACTACCGACTGAGTCACTGAACAGAGCTCTGCCCAGGGCCCTGGGTGGAGGCAGGGATGGAAGACTACGGACCTGCAGACTGCTGCATGCAGACGTGATTCTGGTGCCCAACCCACCACCTTGGGAATAAAACCAGGTAATGAACCCTTTTACTCCAAGAACATTATGCTGTCATTTCTTGGACTCATTGAATCCATAATGAACCTACCCAGGGCTGAAACCCTCAGGTGAGACACTCTATAGTCACCGATTTTAGGACTTCATCCATTCAGATTCCCAGATAGTAGGTCCATTTGTAAAATCATGAAATCTACATTTCTAACCCCACTGCCCATCTTTGGGTGGTCTGAGCCTTCTCTGTAAGTCTTCTCACTACATCGCACAGCTATCTGACAGTAATAAATTAAAGAACAAATTTATCTTTTTCTGGTACGAGCATTTTTTTATCATGTTGCCTAGGAAAAACTTCAGCAAGAGCTATGAATATTGTGGATAAAATGAGAGTTTCTGTGGCCAGGATTCTCACCTGGCCCTGGCTGACTAGCTCACTGAACACCTATGGGCAATACATGGCTGCTGACTCTATACAAAGAGATCTGCCCAGTGCTCTGGGTGCGACATGGTGGCAGGGCTGCAAGGCTGCAGGAGAGCAGAGCAGAGGTTGGAATTGGGGCAGCGCCGAGGACAGAGGCCCAGAGGACGGCTGTGCGGGACGACTGTGCAGAGAGGCCCAGAGGATGGCTGCGCAGACAGAGGGGCCCAGAGGATGGCTGTGTGGGACAGCTGTGTGGACAGAGAGGCCCAGAGGA